GCGTCACGCACACCCATTTCAGCACACCCCTCACACGCTTCGTGGCTCCATGGGGAGCTTCACAGAAGGCCCCAGTGCCACCGCCCGCATGCGACGCACACCAATTTCGGCACACCTCTCACACGCTTCGCGGCCCCATAGGGAGCTCCACCGAAGGCCCCAGTGCCACCGCCCGCATGCGTCACGCACACCCATTTCGGCACACCCCTCACACGTTTCGTGGCCCCATCGGGAGCTCCACCGAAGGCCCCAGTGCCACCGCCCGCATGCGCCCACCGCGTCAATTTTGGGATACCCCTTAATCGTTTCTTGGCCCCATAGGGAGCCCCGCCGAAGGCCCTGATGCCAGCGCTCGCATGCGCCCGCCGCACCCATGTAGGCACACCCCCCACACGGTTTGACACACCATAAGGAGCTCCACCGCCGGCCCCGCCGCTGCCGCCTCGACTCTTTACCACTCTCTCTTGCGTGCATGCACGGCCTAGCTGGCGTCTCAGTGACAGTGGACTGTGACTCTGCGTGACTTCTTCGGTTGCTGCGTAGGACGTCCACGTTATTGAGGAGCTCCACCGAAGGCGCCAGTGGATGCGTTAGTATGAGCCGCCGCACCCATTTTGGAACACCCCTCACACGGTTTGTGGCCCCATAGGGAGCTCCACCGAAGGCGCCAGTGGCTGCGTTCTCATGCGCCCACCGCACCCATTTCGGCACACCCATCACACGTTTCGCGGCACCATAGGGAGCTCCACCGACGGCCCAATGGTTGCGTTCGCATACGCCCACCGCACCTATTTCGGCACACCTCTCACGCGCTTCGTGGCCCCATGGGGAATTCCACCGACGGCCCCAGTGGCTGCTTTCGCATGCGCCCGCCCGGACAAATTTTAGCACACCCCTCACACGTTTCGTTTCGTAGCCCTATTATAAGGAGCTCCTCCGATCGCGGTGCACACAACGACGGTGCTCACAACTGTATATGGTTGGGTCCCGTCCTTCGCCAGGCTAATTTGTGGGTCCGCCAGCGGGCCGCTCAGGCCCTCGTGGACTCTGTTGCCGTGGCTCCCTGGTCCGCCGAGAGGCCCAGGATGAGCCGAGCCAAAACCACGAAATTTCAGGCCGCCCTCCTCCGCAGCTCGCGTCATTTACTGAAGACAGGTCCCAAGTGGATCTGCCCGCGTGGCTCGAGGATGTGTCCCTCGTCTCGGGTGCCGGAGGCCAGGGCCCTTGCCTCTGCCCGTTTGGCAGCCGAGGAACCTTTTGGTCGTGGGGTCGTTCGGGCTGGTGGGGTGGTGGCGGTGGGGGGAGCTCCACTTCACTGCAGTCCTCGTTCGCACGTCTGGCCTTTGCACCATCTTTGCTGCTGCCCCGGTTGCGGTCGGTCGGCCACGGTTTGCCCCGGGCAGTTCAATGAAGAGCGCGTCGCCCCCCTCACGAAGATCGGGCGACGAGATCTATACATATCCACTGCTCGGGTGTTGCTAGAAGTGCCCCTGGGCCAAGGTGCCCCCAGGATTTCCAGGAAGGCCCCCACGGCCTCCAGAGCACCCCTCACGAGGCCCAGAGGGCCCCAGGGGCTTCAAAATTGATCGAAAAGCTGGGGGCACCTTGGGCCAGGGGCACCTTTAGCAACCCCCGAACTGCTCCCTGGCCAGGCCCATCCTGAACCCAGCAGCTGTGTATACGCCCTCCAGGCTGAGCCAGGACGGCCTGGCGTATACACCGTTGGCGGGTTCAGACTGGGCGTGGCCAGGGAGCAGTGTAGACGTATAAATCTCGTCGCCCTAGAAGACGGGGTCGGGAGAACCTCCAGCGTATCAGGCGCGGCTTCTTCCCAGGCCACAGTGGCCCAGCGGTCCCCGTCTTGGAGGCTGCCGCCAGCCGTGTGCGTCGCGATGAGGCGCAACGCATTGTGCCTGGCGCTCTCCATGCTTGGTGTCTGTAGCCACGCAGGTTATGACTCCCATGGCGCTCCCTGACACGCCTTCCCCTTCCCAGAGATCCGACGTCGTGAATTTCTCAGTGCGGGGGCCCAGGAAGTCTCGACCCATTCCCCAGGACCGGCTGTTCAATCTGAGTCGCTTTCTGACGGTCCCGGGGCCCGGCGAGGGCCCCCTAGAGGCAGAACGTGGAAGAACAAATCCGCTTCGTCTTCTTCAATGCGGTGGATCTCATGGGTCTTCCCTGGCTCCCCTTCCGCTCCCCCCTCTCCTGCTTCCTCCTGCCTCCTTCGTTCGGGGCTGCGGTCTCGCCGGCTCCTGGCGGGCCTTCTCGGGGGGGCGGGGCCTCCGCACAGGGTCGCTTGCCGCGGAAGGGCGCGCGCGTGCCCGACGAGGGGTAGGCCGCTGGGCCGGGGGCTCCTGCAGGCTCTCGAGGCCTCCTACTCTGGGCCTCCCGGGTAGGGCCCAGCCCAGTTTTTTCCACGCCGACGGCGCCGAGGCGTCGCCGAGATCTCCGATGCACCTGCGATGAATTGGCGATGCGGCGCGCGCCTCCGGCCCCGCCGTCTATTCGGACCTCATCTAGGAGGCCTCTGCGTGCACACGGTGTAGGTCGGGTCCGTGGGCTGTGGTTCTACCCCCTTCCCTCCCTCCGTCCTGCCCCCGCCTTCCTTCCATCCTCCCCCCATTTCTCCCTTTATCTCCCTCCTCGGTCTTCCCCACGCCCCCCTCCTCCCCCCCGCTTCCCTCCCGCTGCAATCATGGGGCCATCTTGGGCCGTCTCGGGTCTCTTTTTTGAGGCCTCTGTGAGCGTCGCCTTTGTATTCGGTGGGATATTGACCGCGCGCTAACGTGGCGAGCTTAGCTCGCTGATTGGCGCGGGGCTTGGGTATACCAGCGAGGGCCCTTCACAACGCCGTCCCGGGGGGGATGGAGCAGGAAGAGAGGCGGTCGCAGGATGGAAGGGGGACAGAGAGGATGCCCAAAGACGCAGCCCCTGATGTCGCCAGGGGGGGGGAGAATGTGGGGGAGGGGGGAGGGGGCCGGGGAAGGGGGAGGAGGATGAGGATGAGGCGGAGGAGGAGGAGGAGGGGGAGGAGGGGAGGAGGAGGAGGAGGAGGAGGAGGAGGAGAGGAGGAGGAGAAGGAGGTGGAGGAGGGAGGAGGATGAGGTGGAGGAGGAGGAGGAGGAGGAGGAGGAGGGAGGAGGAGCAGGAAAAGGAGGAGGGGGGGGGGGAGGATGAGGTGGAGGAGGGGGAGGATGAGGTGGAGGAGGAGGAGGAGGAGGAGGAGGAGGAACCATGGTCTCGGTCCTGTCAGGTCCCTGGCTGGTTCTCTGAACTGGCTTCTTGTGTCTGCACGACTTGTCGCGAAGCTCCAGGTTCCGAGCTAGTGGTAGTCCGACCTTCTGCAGGAGGAGGAGGAGCAGGAGGAGGAGGAGGAGCAGGAGGAGGAGGAGGAGGACCAGGAGGACCAGGAGGACCAGAAGGACCAGGAGGAGGAGGAGGAGGAGGAGGAGGAGGACCAGGAGGAGCAGGAGGAGGAGGAGGAGGAGGAGGAGGAGGAGGAGCAGGAGGAGGAGGAGGAGGAGGAGGAGGAGGAGGAGGAGGACAAGGAGGAGGTGGACGGGTGGCCGAAGCGGTTGAAAGTACGGTCGCGGCGCCAGTGGTCCCGACCCCTTCCCTGGGGGTAGGTCTTCTCGTCCCCGGATCCGCTCTTGAGGGCACGGGCCCCGGGGGCAGCGGTCCAGGAACAGCGCCGGGCCTGAACAGATCACATCGTCGGGGATCCTGGGGTTTTGGGGGGCGCGGCGCGAAGCGCTCCAGGCGGGAGTGTCGCTCGCCCGAGCGGAGCGTGGAGCTCGTGGGGCTCCAGCGGCCGCCGTGGCGCCCTCGCGCGGGCGGTCGCGCCCCTGTCGCGTTCCCTTCGCGCTCGAGCTCGCTCATCCCAGCGGCCGGAGGAGGACGAGGACGAGGAGGAGGAGGAGGAGGAGGAAGAGGAGGAGGAGGAGCAGGAGCAGGAGCAGGAGGAGAGGGAGAGGAAAGAAGGGGAGGGCAGAAGCCAGACCCCCGGCGTCGCGATCTTCTAGCAACGTCGACCCCCAGAGAGGTCTGGACCCCTTCCCGGGACGTGCGTTTCATCCTGAGTCGTTTTCTGACGGCCCCGAGGCCCAGGAAAGGCCCCCAGAGGCCGAACATTCGGGAAAATGTCCCGTCGTGACTTTTTCATTGCCCGAGGGGGGTCGGGGTCACTTCGCGCGCGAGCTCGCTCATCCAAGCGGCCGGACGCTGGCGCCATCTGTCTGCTCCTGTCGCCTCGCGCCTGGGAGGGCGAGCGGAGCCCGCGGTGTATGGTTGTGGCCTTCGGGGGGGGGGGGAGCCTCGTCTCCACGGCCGGGTGCAGCTCGGAACACTCGCTCGTTCGTGCGCCTGGAGCCCGGGAGGGGTCTGGGGACCGATCTCGAGCTGCCGTGGCCTCAGCCTGCCCTGCTCCGGGTCCCGGACCCCCCTCGAGCCACGACGACAAGCCCGACGGAAGGTGCCTCGCCATATGTTCGGGCCCTGGGGCCCCCCTTCCCGGGCCTCGCGAGGCCGTCAGAAAGCGACCCGGAGGAGGAGGAGGAGGAGGAGGAGGAGGAGGAGGAGGAGGAGGAGGAGGAGGAGGAACCCGGTCCCCGGGGGACGGGGTCGAGACCTCTCTGGGGGTCGACGCTGCGCAGAGATCGCGGCGTCGCGGGGATCTGGGGCTCGCCTCGCTCCGATGCGCGCGCCCCCGCCGGCCCGGCGCATTCAGAAGCGCTTCTCTCTCGGCGAGCTGTCGCGAGACGGAGAGAGAGGGGGGGGGGGGCCCTCGCTATACTCCGAAGTCGGGGTCCCCCTCGACAGGGCTCGCCTCGACTCCGGCGCTCCCGATTTGAACCTCGCGGCGGTTTCCATGGAGGCCTGACTCTCGTCGCCGCTTTCCGCCGGTCCGATATTCAGCCCTGTCGCCGATCCGACTCGTCGATTCGACTCTGGGCTCGCCTGCCCCGAGCAGCCCCCGGCAGTGGCCAACGTGGGGTCCGAAGCCGCTCTGGCTGAAGCCGTTGCTGCGGCGCCCAGGTCCGGCAGGCGTGCCCCGCAGCCCCGCGGCAGGCCCCCTCCAGAGGCCCAGCCATGGGGGCCAACAAGGTCGTGCAGAAGTCCAAGGCTCGGAGGGGGGGGGGGAGCGCTTCGAGGAAGGAAAAAACAGGAACACAACCTCTTGGCGCTGCGCGCGGAGCGCCAGCAGTTTCTGTTGTTGCAGTTGTTGCATCTTCTGTGGGAGGCCCTCGTCGCTACGGCTGCATGTGCTTCGACATCCCAGTCAGAACGCACTCGGGGAGAGGTCCAGGGAGTCGTAATTACATCCTGGCGTCCCCAAAGGAGGCCAAGATGAAAGCCGCCATGGCCGGCGGCAAGTCCAAGAAGAAGAAGTGGAGCAAGGGCAAGGTGAAGGAGAAGCTGGCCAACCTGGTCATGTTCGACCAGGCCACGTACGACAAGATGCTGAAGGAGATCCCGAAGGCGAAGCTCATCACCACGGCCATCGTGAGCGAGAGGCTGAAGGTGAACGGCTCCGTGGCGCGCCAGGCCATCCGCCACCTGGAGGAGAAGGACCTGATCCAGGTTTGGGCGTCACGTAATGGGGGGGATCATAAATGGGGGGGTGGCGAGGGTGGTCCGAAAAGGTACCCAAACGGGACCTAAACGAGCCCCCTGGGGTTCCAGAGGGGCCCGAAAGGGGCAGGAAAGGGGACCGTTTCGGACCCCCCCATCTATGACCCCCCCGTGAAGCCACGCCCAACAGGTGGTAGGCGAGAGGAGCAGCAGCATGCTCATCTACACGCGCAAGATCGGGGCAGGCGACTAGGCGACTAGGCGACGGCCGGCACGTGGACGGGCTGAGGGCTGCGAGAGTCGCTGCTTCGCGACGCCTGACGAGCAAAGCACGCGCGCACGCCCCTGCCAGGACAGAAAATGAGATACCAACGTTGGAATGCACAGAGGAACCTTTCGGAGGCCCCTCGGATCTCTCCTGGGGCTTTCTTGGGGCCTTTGGGGGAGCCTTGAGGGTCCCCCAGAGCTCTCGTGGCGCTCTCTGGGGAGCCTCTTTGGGCCCTCTTGGAGCCATCCTGGAAGCGATCGATCAGCCACGAAAAAAGAGGGGGACTTCGTTGGCCCCTCTGCTTGGAGCTGGAAAGACAAAGCGCTTCGAGCCCTCGTGGAGCGCTCTTTGGGTGCTCCTGGACACCGTCGGGGTCCTCTTAGATTTTCTCCAGGCCACTCTTGGAGGCCATCCTGGGACCGGCTTGGGGCCACCCTGAGGGCTCGGAAGCACGTCGGATGCGGAGGAACGAAGAGTCGGAAGCGAACGAAGCGCTCTAAATTATTATTAGATGATCTTGGCCTCCCTGGGGTGTTGCTGGGAGGCCCCGCGGCCGTCCCAGGCCATGCTATGTCTATCGCGAAGCTCGTTTAGAGCACGTCGGAGGCCACCTCCTCCACCACCTCCTCCTCCTCCTCCTCCTCCTCCTCCTCCTCTGGAGTTGTACTCCGCCACCTCGGAGGCCACCTTCGACTGCCGGGAGCCACCTGGCAGCCGTCTGGAACGCTCTGGCACGTCGCGGCCCCCGCCGTCCAGGCCCCCAGGGAGTGACTTCGCCGAGTGTCTGCGAACGACTTGCGAGAGCCTCTTCTAGATAGGCGGCCTCAGGGGATGGCAGGCGGGATGATCATTATCCTTGCCTTCCTGCAGCTCGTCTGGGCTCCAGGCTCCAGCTTGGAGGGCTGGCAACAGGCCGGTCCCGACTCCCGAGGTCGGGGGAGCACGCAGCAGGTAGATCCGCGTGGCCACGAAAACAGGGCCCCCAGGGAAGTGACTTCGCCCCCCGCGCGCGACGCCCTCCGCGCGCGCGACGCCCTGCGAGGGACACCCCCCGCGCGCGACGCCCCCGCTGGCCGAGGTGGGGCAGCCGGAGACCTCCGCCGAGATGCCTTGCGCTGCCGCGCGCCCAGCGCAGGCGCGGCGAAGGGCCACGGGGCAGCGCTGAAGGCCTCGACACTCAGTGCGCTTTGGGACGCCCCCTCCGCCTCCTCCTCCCCCTCCTCGCGCAATCCCCCCCCCCCACCCTCCTCACACAATCCTCCTCCCCCTCCTCCTCCCTCCTCCTCCTCCTCCTCCTCCTCCTCCTCCTCCTCCTCCTCCTCCTCCTCCTCCTCCCCCTCCTCTTAATCATCCCTGCCCCCGTGCCCCTCACTTCACTTGCAGCTTCCATGCTCCTGCTGTCCACAATCCTCCTCCTCCTCCTCCTCCTCATCATCATCATCATCATCATCATCATCATCATCATCATCATCATCATCACCATCACCATCACCATCACCATCACCATCACCATCACCATCACCATCACCATCATCATCATCATCATCATCATCATCATCATCATCATCATCATCATCAGCAGCAGCAGCAGCAGCAGCAGCAGCAGCAGCATACCCACCGGTCGTTGAAAGTAGGTATTTACCTAACAGCGAAGACTGATAGGTTTCTAGTTGACTCAAAAGAGCTCACAGATCACTCCACAGGGGGGTCCGGGCAGGTGTTGGGGAGTTGCCGGGCGGCAGGGTGCCGGGCTCGTTTTTCACCAACAGTCACACACTTCGTGCTCTTCGACTTCCCAGAACTCCATTCCCAGGCCACATTCTCAATACCCGGATGCAACAGTCACACACAAAGTGCTCTTCGAGATCCCAGAACGCCATTCCCGAGCCACATTTAGAATAACCGGATGCAACAGTCACACACTTCGTGCTCTTCGACATCCCAGAACGCCATTCCCGGGCCACATTCTGGAGGGCCGGATGCAACAGTCACACACTTCGTGCTCTTCGAGTTCCCAGAATTCCATTCCCGGGCCACATTTTGGATGCCCGGAGCCAACTGTAGGCCACTTCCTGGTCTTCGAGTTCCCAGAACTCCATTCCCGGGCCACATTTTGAATGCCCGGAGCCAACTGTAGGCCACTTCGTGCTCTTCGAGTTCCCAGAACTCCATTCCCGGGCCACATTTTGAATGCCCGTAGCCAACTGTAGGCAACTTCGTGCTCTTCGACTTCCCAGAACTCCCATTCCTGGGCCACATTTTCAGCAGGGGCAAGAGCACGACGAGGAGGAGGACGAGCAAGACCAGGAGGACGAGGACGAGCAGGACGAGGAGCAGGAGGAGCAGGAGAAGAAGGACGAGCAGGAGGAGGAGGAGGACGAGCAGGAGGAGGAGGACGACCAGGAGGAGGAGGAGACCAGGAGGAGGAGGACGACCATGAGGAGGAGGATGAACAGGAAGAGGAGGAGGAGGTGGAGGAGGAGGAGGGAGGGAGGCGACCCAGGAGGAGGAGGAGGAGGAGGAGGAGGAGGAGGAGGAAGAGGAGGAGGAGAAGGAGGAGGACGAGGACGAGAAGGAGGAGGAGGAGGGGGGGGGAGAGTACCAGGAGGAGGAGAACGAGGACCACCAGGAGGAGGAGGAGGAGGAGGAGGAGGAGGAGGAGGAGGAGGAGAGAACACCAGGAGGAGGAGGACGAGCAAGACGAGGAGGACGAGAACGAGGACGACCAGGAGGAGGAGGAGGAGGAGGAGGAGGAGGAGGAGGAGGAGGGGGAGGCGGAGGAGGAGGAGGAGGAGGAGGAGGAGGAGGAGGAGGAGGAGGAGGAGGAGGAGGAGGAGGAGGACGAGGATGAGGAGGAGGAGGGGGGGGGAGAGCACCAGGAGGAGGAGAACGAGGACCACCAGGAGGAGGAGGAGGAGGAGGAGGAGGAGGAGGAGGAGGAGGAGGAGGAGGAGGAGAGAGCACCAGGAGGAGGAGGACGAGCAAGACGAGGAGGACGAGAACCAGGACGAGCAGGAGGAAGAGGAGGAGGAGGAGGAGGAGGAGGAGGAGGAGCAGGAGAAAGAGGAGGAGGAGGAGGAGGAGGAGGCAGGCTGAGGCTGAGGCTGTGACTGCGACTGCCGTTGCCGCTGCGACTGTCATCGCGAATGCGACTACGACTGCGAGAACAGCAGAATTCGACAACTGGATTTTCATCTGAGTCTTAAGGGGAATGCTTTCAGATATGCTTCTACACATCGCTGTTAGGTTGCTTTGCCGGGATAATTACCTAACAGCGAAGACTGATAGGTTTCTAGTGGGATCAAAAGAGAGCAGCAGATCACTCCACAGGGGGTCCGGGCAGGTGTTGGGAGTTGCCGGGCGGCAGGTGCCGGGCTCGTTTTTCACCAACAGTCACACACTTCGTGCTCTTCGCCTTCCCAGAACTCCATTCCCAGGCCACATTCTGAATACCCGGATGCAACAGTCACACACAAAGTGCTCTTCGAGATCCCAAAACGCCATTCCCGGGCCACATTTAGAATAACCGGATGCAACAGTCACACACTTCGTGCTCATCGACATCCCAGAACGCCATTCCCGGGCCACATTTAGAATAACCGGATGCAACAGTCACACATTTCGTGCTCTTCGAGTTCCCAGAATTCCATTCCCGGGCCACATTTTGGATGCCCGGAGCCAACTGTAGGCCACTTCGTGCTCTTCGAGTTCCCAGAACTCCATTCCCGGGCCACATTTTGAATGCCCGGAGCCAGTTGTAGGCCACTTCGTGCTCTTCGAGTTCCCAGAATTCCATTCCCGGGCCACATTTCGAATGCCCGTAGCCAACTGCAGGCAACTTCGTGCTCTTCGACTTCCCAGAACTCCCATTCCTGGGCCACATTTTCAGCAGGGGCAAGAGCACGACGAGGAGGAGGACGAGCAAGACCAGGAGGACGAGGACGAGCAGGAGCAGGACGAGGAGCAGGAGGAGCAGGAGAAGAAGGACGAGCAGGAGGAGGAGGAGGACGAGCAGGAGGAGGAGGACGACAGGAGGAGGAGGACGACCAGGAAGAGGAGGAGGAGGAGGAGGAGGAGGAGGAAGGAGGAGGCAGGAAGGAGGCGGAGGAGGAGGAGGAGAGGAGGAGTAGGAGGAGGGGAGGATCGAGGACGAGGGAGGAGGAGGAGGAGGAGGGGGGGGGGGAGAGTACAGGAAGGAGGAGGAACGAGGACCACCAGGGGAGGAGGAGGAGGAGGAGGAGGAGGAGGAGGAGGAGGAGGAGGAGGAGGAGGAGGAGGAGGAGGAGAGAACACCAGGAGGAGGAGGAGGACGAGCAAGACGAGGAGGACGAGAACGAGGACGACCAGGAAGAGGAGGAGGAGGAGGAGGAGGGGATGGGGAGGACCACCAGGAGGAGGAGGAGGAGGAGGAGGAGGAGGACGAGGAGGAGGAGGAGGAGGACGAGGAGGAGGAGGACGAGGAGGAGGAGGAGGAGGGGGGGGGGGAGAGCACCAGTGAGGAGGTAGAAGAGGACACCAGGAGGAGGAGGAGGAGGAGGAGAGAGAGGAGGAGGAGGAGGAGGAGACAAGGAGGAGGAGGGAACGAGCAAGACGAGGCGGGACGAGAACGGTGAACGAGGCAGGAGGACGAGAACGAGGACGAGCAGGTGAAGAGGAGGAGGAGGAGGAGGAGGAGGAGGAGGAGGAGCAGGAGAAAGAGGAGGAGAGGAGGAGGCAGGCTGAGGCTGAGGCTGTGACTGCGACTGCCGTTGCCGCTGCGACTGTCATCGCGAATGCGACTACGACTGCGAGAACAGCAGAATTCGACAACTGGATTTGCATCTGAATCTTAAGGGGAATGCTTTCAGATATGCTTCTACACATCGCGGAGGGCCGGATGCAACAGTCACACACTTCGTGCTCTTCGAGTTCCCAGAACTCCACTCCTGGGCCACATTTTGGATGCCCGGAGCCAACTCTAGTCCACTTCCTGGTCTTCGAGTTCCCAGAACTCCATTCCCGGGCCACATTTTGAATAGCCAGACGCTTCATAATCCTTCCGCCACAGCCGTGATTGGTTCAGGACTTGCTAGTGACACTGCAGTCCACTGCATTCAATCGTGCCACTGCATTCATTCACTGCAGTCCACTGAGTTTCGATTGCAATGGCGGTCCCCTGGCCGTACCCCCATGTCCAACGTTCATCCGCAGCCTCTGCTCCGCGAGGCTCGTCCGAAGTGTCGCCGCCTCGCGGTGCTTCTCAGCCTGCGCCGCCTCGCGGTGCTTCCCAGCCTGCGGAGGAAGGTGGACAGACGCCTGGTTCTGGCGCTGTGCAGCCTGCGTCTTTCACGGTCGCCTCGTTCAATTTCGGGTTCGAGCAGGGCATGATGACTGGTAAGCAGGCTGCCACTCACTGCGCTAACTTCGGAAGGGTGTGCGCCACGATAGTGGAGACCGCTGATGCTGATATTGTCTGTGGCTGCGAGGTCGGTGCGTTCCGTGAAGGCTTTCGCCGAGCAGGGATCAACGTGACAGAGATCCTCAGTAAGCCTTTCGGTGATGGCATTCGCTTCTCGGAGGTCGACAACTACTTGACTCTCTGGGGATTCCGCGGTGCTTCTCAGCCTGCGGAACTGATTCTGTGCGAAGACAGCAAAGTTTACAGGCCTCCTAGCGGCCGAGAGATTGATGCTGTTATTTCACATTTTGAGGTGAACAAACCAGGGCATGACAAGTTCCACGTGGTGATCGCCAACATGCACATCGTGTGCGGCAAGAAACCGCCGACCATCCAGACTCGAAAGCGGACAGTTCGCCATCTCCGCTTGCACCTGGACTGCATGGCTCAGATTCTCAATGCTTCGGAGCCGCACGTGCCAGTCGTTCTGCTTGTAGTCGGCGACGACAACCTGACTTTCCAGGAGGCGCGGGAGGCTTACCAGCGCCAGCAGAACGACGAGAAGCTCTGGGAGGTCCATGCCACTC